AAAGTTAAATTATGGTATAAGTAATCCTTACCTCACAATTTGATGGTGCTCTTTTGTTGGGCGACAAGAATCTGATATAGGGTCAAGGTATTCATCAGTTGGTTAATCGCCTCCATGAAAATGCATGATGGAACGCATTGCTTGTATGAAAATTCATTTCATATAAGAATTAACATATTGGATATATCATAGGTAATTTTTCCTAGGTTGAATTGACTGTGAATCCTGTTGCATTCCTTTATCCACCTCATTGCTTTTTGGCGGTCACTATGTGGCTCCGGAAAAGGCACAAATTTTACTCCATTTGAACGGCAGGGTCACCGTACAGGTTGTCAGACTGGCAAATACCATATGCGCAGCGTTTACACATAGTTAGTCTACCAAAATAATTCACTAATAGATTCTGTTTAATAAAAATGCAACATCGTATTGAAGGCGAATTCTTCCGTACTGACGTAGGCTACAGGTACTCTTGATTGCATCAGCATGACTGTCTACTATTTTTTGGTTCGAAATAGCAGTTGGTTGACCTGTACGGTACCGTACCTGTAAGGTGCATGCAGCGGGTACAGCCTTTTAGTATAGATATACAGATTTCGTAAACGTGATTTGCAACAAGTTACATACAGTATTACAGCTTTCTAATTATCGCAGCCCTGTGAAGAAAACAAAAAGCGAAAAAAAGGACAAAGATCTGCCTAAACCGCCAGCAACCTGTGCGGAACGCGTCCAAAGTTGTCTGAGCGACTTTTCAGCGAAGATTGTTTGTTCACATCTGCTTCGATGCTACATCGATGCTTTGCTACATCTGATTTGATGTCGGGGAAAGGTCCATTAACGAGGAGTCGCGGAAGACTGTAAAGTCATCGTGTCAGCGACACCATAAATGCTGAGTTCAGCAGCAGATGACGTCAAAAAACGTCAAATAATTTAGCTAGATTTAAATACGTACAGAGGAAAATTTGGAAACGTAAATCGAATCGAGAGAGTAAGTATAAAGGGAAATGTTTAAATGGGAGGAAAAGAAATATCCATCGTGTCGAGCAAAGTGATTTATTGTATCAGTTCCAAAAATTCAAGCCTGTTGTTTGAAAGTAGCCTACCGGTAGAAAAGTTTAGCCTAGTGACCTATCACAGCTATTTTTATTTCTAGACTAATTTTTGTATACTGCAATTAATCTATATAAGAAGATGGAATAATCATTGAATTATTTGATTTGTACTGAAATTTCCGAAACATAACCAAAAACTAACAAATAGTATGCGAAAAGGCAGTAATGTTTACAAAATAAACTCATAAAATCTGTCTGAGCGGCTGCTCAACGGTTTACTGTAAAGTTGCTTTTCCGAAGTGGAAACAGAGATTTTCTTGCTTGCTTTCCAACTTTGTGCATTGCATATTGTTTTATTTCTCACAAATCGCTACTCAATTGCTAGTTTCAAACGATCTTTCTCAAAGTTGAAACATTTATATTTGAGGTCTTTGTCAACTTAGCGTCTGTCAAGTTCTTTGATTAGCATCAAAAAGAAATACCTGACAAACGAGGTGAAAGAGGCTGTTGTTCAGACATTTGTTGACATGACAGCAAAGTAGCGATTGGACATAGAAATAAGTGACTTGCTTAATAATAAAACAAAACGTTTCTATCATACTTGGCCTTTAATTTGTTTATTCTCAAGTATAGCGACATCTATAATCTGTTTTGTCCCCAATAAGTTAGGATCATTATCAGAAACTCGCCCCGGGCAGCAGAAAAATTTGGCACGCCCGTGATCATAAGTTAAAGCGGCAGTCGGCACCCAGAATAATAGACTAGGCTTGATCTTATCAGAATTCAGAAGCGGATTCAAATAATTTCTTTGTCAGCCGGTTCCATCATACAAATGTCCAATTTTCAGGCGGTTCTGTTACAAAAAGTCAACCGGTTCGCTGATCTCATAAAATTCCGTAAGGCGGTTCTATGGAACCGGCTGAATCCCACTGCCGGATATCGGTACAGTCCAATTACATTGTTATGTCATAAACGTCGAAAACATTGTTCTGCTCAGTAGCTCCATACTGGTATATCATCACCCGATCCACTAAGGTAATTCACTCACGTTAAATTAAATTAAAAATTTTTTAAAAATTCTAGTGCGATTTTTACATATTAAAAGTCACATCGTGAGCCGCGGGTCAGTGGTTTACTTTCCCTGCACTAAACTATTGCGCGAAAACTGGGGTATTTACAAATATCTCTTTATACAATTTTAATGATATATATATATATCGATGAAATAGTTAAAGATATCAAATGTTATGTTTGGAGTAAATCTTGAATGATGTACAAACGATGAATTGTATAATTAATTTTTCGATATTGTTTTTTTTTTTAGCAAAAATAATATTGACCAATTTTTAATATCATAACCAGTATTTTTGCTTGAAAGTTCAGTAAAATGAAGCAGTCGTTGTTACGTACTTAAAACTAAATACTAAAAATTCATTTGTGCTTGCGTAATCAAAGCCGACGACCAAACGGGAAAATACTCTTGGCATATAACGTTCAAGAAAGTTCTGTTTACTTCACTGTCTAGCAACAGTTCAATGACATTACGAGAATCGCAGTGTTCGATGCTTTAAAGTGCATTGAACTGTTTTAATCAGGTTTGTCCATGGGACATATTTTTCTGTCCCATTCCCATCCCATAGCCAGTATGCCTGTCCCATCCCACCCCATGGGATTCCCATTGGAATAAAATTCAATAAAAATTGTCGAATTTAGGTTTAGAGTCTACTAAATAGGACTACAGGTACGAAGAGACATGCAACACAACAAAATTAACGGACTTTGTTAACTTTATATTCATAACTATTATGCATAACTATTATGTCCATCAGCCCCTTCACGAAGTATATTGTTAAGACTGAATATATTTTGCTCTTTATAACTACCAAGAAAGCTATGCTCAAATATATGGACAGGACATCCATAACGAAATGTTTTACCATCATTTCCCTGAAATTCATACGGTTTTCGTGTCCCATGGGAAATACAAATGTGTGCTATCCCATCCCATGGGACGTTTCCCATTGGCAAGCCTGTTTTTATTATACACATTTGTCATGGATCTGTGATGGGATTGAAAAGTTTGAGAATAGATACTATAACAAAAATACAGAGCGGGGGCTCGTTGATGATCAACACATTCCAGGAACGGGTTCGCACGAATCGCTGAATGCCACCCCTGATATATGGATGCCAGAGGGTTTTGGGGAAGGTCAAGGTTCGTACCAACAGGGAAGGTCAAGGTTCGAATCAACAGGTCATTCGATCACGTGCATAACTACGAAACGCCGATTTCGGTAATGATTCACCAGTTATTTTGATCACAAATATTTTACTTATCATGGAGTGTAAAATACTACCAGAAATTTTTTAGTAACAAGAACAAAAACAACCGAAGTCTTTTATGCAATCCCATTAACCCTAAATTTTGGAACAATATTGAAAAAGGGCAAACGGGATTTTATTAGCTGGAAAGAAATATCGTGAATAATACAAGTCGACCGTATACACTAATACTTCATGATGCCAGATTGTAGCTCGACGGAATTGTTACTAAGACGATTACGGGCATTCTAGAAAGTTAAAAAATCGAATTCAAGTTATTTGTTGAACCCGGAACTTTTGAGTATAATACTATATTAATATATACTAATATTACAAATTCTATTTGTTGATATGGTATCAGCTAGAAGTATGATATAGGACGTTTCTCCGACCCTTGACCCCAGAAAATGTGTTCGCGCTTATAAGCTGGTTTACGTGTTTGAAAACCTCATTTTTATTAAATAAAATTAATCAACCATGTGCGCTTACATGCACTGATAGCTTAGTTTAGAGTTTTAGACTAGTCTATCGCAGCATTTGCGAGACTCATTTTTGATTACATCAACTAAATTAATGCTCCTTTGAAGACATAATGACAATTAAGATATTTAATTCACAACTATTTTTTTGAAACACAACTGAAAACTGACAAATAACACTCAACACTACAAAAACGAGGCAATGTTTACTGATTGCTGCTGGTTAAGGAAATAAACAGGGAAATTGATGCCCGTGGAAACATTCATAAATGACGTCCAGCGAATACATACAGTATGGATAGAGATAAAGCGTTGTCGGCATATTTTGGCCAACTCAAAAGTAAATTGTTGCAATGATAGGGCTGCTCGCGTACCACTTGATCAATCTAAACTCCCCAGGGGTTAATAAGCACACAAGGATTGTAAATCCAAATGTGCGTATATATATTGCAAGGTTGTACAATCAAATCGAAACAGATATCTTGAAAATATATAACCTAAACCTTAATACAAGCTAACAGTTGAACCCAAATCAGTAATGCTCCGAAGAAACATCAAAATACTTTATTCTGAACCACGTCATTGATCGCTCGGTACAGAAAAGCACTGCATAACGAGCAAAGACTTGATACGATAAATCATCATCAGGAAAATTGCCAAAATGACTTATTTTCATTGAATATCAACATGATATCAATACAAAGAGGTTAAATAACATGAATCCAAGTTCCATTCACGTTCGCTACAACGAAGACCTCTAATGTATATTCGTATGATGATCCAAGGCATCACGTGAGAAATTAAAAATTAACTTATATTAGAGGATACATTAAATATTCGTTCGAACAAGGAAAAAAATTACAAAGTTAACTGATATTTTTGCGTGACCTTTTTGATTCCTTAGGCCTTATGATCACAATATTATTATATATTGATAGAAACAGCCGTGTCATTAATCATTATACTGTCAAACATTCAATACGGAACAACATAACAATCTATTGTCGGAAATTATATGCGGATCGCCTGTAATTTTTCACAAAGTAGATACTTTCGGGACTATTTTAAGTAGGCAAATAAATGACACTATTTGCTTATCATCATAAGCTCCCTAGAAATTATTAACCATGAGTGAAATACTGGTAGACCCAAGTTAGCTTAATATCATACCAAACGTTGATTTCCGTGTTGTTACAGTATTTTCGGCAATTTATATATATATAGATTCTTTCTGTCAGTGTTGTTATTTATTCCAGAATAAAAACAATGCCAAGTTCAGATTCTGATTCCGATCATGAACAACAGGAACGAGAAGACTGGAGTAGTACCCTCAGTTCCGCTCCACCTTATGCTCCAGGAACAAGTGCTTATCCGCCACCTGGTTTCCAGCATGTGAGTAAAGATTCAAATTCTAGATTCGTGCGAAAACTCAGGTTATTGATAGCCGTGGCAGATAAGGTCATGAATAGGATATGAATGAAACTTAATTTTTCAAGTTATGATGAGAAGAAAAAAATTGCACTCTTAAATTCATAATTCAAAACACGATGAACACAAACAATTGTTTTACAGATTAACTTGTATATGAGATATAAACAGAAATTTAAGGACGACCCATTTCTCTTCTTTTTTGTTGGATAATAGTTTTTTGATATCTAATTATTAAGTATTGACTACTGAGTACGTGCCTTGGAAGTTGGAATAATCTTGGTAAATGTATTACAGCCTCACGTACCACCCCCGACACAGTCAGTTTATCCGCCTGGTATCGTGCATCAGACTGGTTACTACACGACAAACAATGCCGGACAGCAAGTTTATGTTTCCCAAGTTACCAAAGTGAACAGATCCACTTACGATGACCTCAGAGGAGCAATCCCGATCATGCCAATGCCTCTGGCCATAACTTGCTGCGTGTTGAACTTCTTTTTACCAGGGATAGGTGGGTTTAGATATTTTATATTATAGGCATAGGTGAATACTTTACGCAGACCTTGTATATGTATATAAATGTACATCGTTTTTATGACATGATCTAATCCAAAATCCAAGGAACATATCGTCACGCTAATAATCGAATTGCGTAAGTCATTTTTAACAGTTTCGAGAAAAACGTAAAAAACTTCCTAATGATATTGTTATGCCATTGAGAGTCAATAATTTGCCATGGTTCAATTTTTTGATCGTAGCCGGATTTAAGTTAATTTGTATGACGCAGTTAAGTGACGTCATAATGTCGCACTGTGACTTAGGCAGAAATGTGGGTATGACTTGGGGACATACGCAATTTTGCAACTTTACTATATACACCAGTCCTGAAAACTAAACATTCCAGAAACGAATGTAATTCTCAGTATCTACAATGTCTAATCCCCAAAATAGCTAATCAGTTTTGATTACAATATTTTTTATGTTTAAAAATATATATTTCATCAATTTAACACGTTCTGTATACTCACCGAAATAAGACTAAGATTAAATATAAAGAATAAAACAGCAATGCACCCAGTATAAAAGGCAACCAAGGTGAACTGGACTCGGACAGTGAATATCACAAGTGCACGTCTTCCTATACTGTAGTATAAATTCAAACTAATACGCGCTAAGCTAGAATCCGAGATGCAAAAACTCTAAAATACTTCGCCGAGGTTATCTTGCCTTTGTGACGTCACAATAGTCCCGCAGTAACAATGATAATTCATTATGACGAAACAATTGCACAAGTGTATATGTCATACTGAATCTCCATTTTCATGGGTTTCGGAATTCTTAAAATAAAATCTGAGTTAACAGACAGGTGCGCAGCATTACATAAATACCTATTTTATAAAAAACTCAAAATCGCCAAAAATGACTTACGCAATTCGGTTATTAGCGTGACGATATGCAATCCAAACCTGTCAATTAATTTAGGCAATTGCATCATCACTAACTTCGAGCATTACATAGCAAAATATAGAACATATATTGGACATTGGGCTTTTTTAACAAGCTTGGCAATAGTTATAGTCACATATTTGTCATTAGGTATTATTACAGTTATTTCTTATAACAAAACTCATATATAACTCTATTAACTATATGTAACTTTCGTTAAACATGTAAACACTGCATAACATTTGATTCCAATGATGTTACTATAACACCCATCATAATACAAAATAATTTCACACAATTCGAATTTCATGTTTCAATAGCATTAATTTCATGTTTTAATACCAATTTTTTGTTATTCGCTGGCAACGGCAGATCAGTTTATTGCACTAATGTTGACTTTTTGACAATTGGCATTTAAAATTTCTCTATTTTGGTTATTCGTGGTCAACAAATAACTATTAAATTTTTGACCAAACAGTAATCATTGTTATATCATTAATATATTTTATTGAGGGAAAAATAGACAATGATGTTAAACTACGGAATCCACAAGCACGTTTCAGTTTTTGTCGTTAGGCCAGCATTGAGAAACCGAAACTGGTTTTTAAGAACGATTTTAAATATCGTTAATATATGTATTCTCATTTATTGAAACCGTAAATAAACAATCACAATGTTTGACAGACCATGAAGAAAGACCACGTTGACGAATTTTGTGCATTGTTCAATCGTGGAAATATGAGATAATATATTATAATTCTTATATTGCAATATAAGAATCTGTATAGAAATTGTGGCTTGAACAGTCGAAACAAAGAATGTGCGAAAATAATGTCATCTAATAGCCAAGTATGCTAATATGAAAACTGGATGATCGTCCCCATAAAACATTTTTTAAATGTCGGGTCAAATTTGTTAAGTTAATAATTTATTTATTAAATCTATCTACAGTGCGATTTCAACGATTAGTAATTTAACTCTATCGTTATTAGCATATTTAAATTTATTATTATATGTTATTTCAGATCCCCCAAAACTTATTTTTCTTGGTAAAATTATGCTTTTATTGTTTCATCTTATTTTTTATAATATAATTCATTGTATTGATGGGGATCGCAATATACACAAAAGAAATATATTTACAAATTATGGCTCGTAACACCATTTCAGATAGTTTAATGACTTTGTGCGTATGCCTGGTTTACTTGTTTGTTTGCTTGAAGAAAACATTGACTATTTGTAATTTTATTTAGGAACCATTACAGCATCCTTTTGTGTTTTCTGCTGTGCAAATATTGGACAGTCGGCCGGAGGTAAGATGGGTTGTTTCTGCCTCAACTTCTGGATTGGTTGGCTTCAGCTCTTCACTGTTTGGTTATTCCTTTTTGGCTGGATTTGGAGCATTATGTGGGGATGGGCGTTTGTCGCAGCTTCAGGTGAGAATGTTAGAAATAATAGAGCAATTCTCAAATATATGAACGCGATGGTCAAGTCAAATGACTATTGATCACGTCTCTGTCAGCAAAGTTCTAGTCAATAAAAAAAAATGGTGTGCCAAATGGTATAAGAAAATCTTCAGTGAATTATAAAAACAAGAAAAATCTGGAACAAAATGTCGGATTTTTGCGAGACTAGAAATAATAAAAGTAATAGCCTTATAGCCGTTTTTATCTTTTAGTACTAAAAATTTGAAATCGTTTAGTTACTGAGAATATTACTTCAAAATCCAAACAAGACAACAAAAAATTCTGCAAAGAATCCATGGTTTTACTTGCGCCAAAGATTTAATTTTAGAAAACGTGCTTATTTATTTGTTTATTTGCGCCAAATTACTAGTCTAGTCTATTTTGTCTAGCATCTACTAATATAATTCTCTCATTGTCTAGTAAAATGTAATCTCTCAATTAGACCATTTTTTTTCAAATATTGAAACTCCGCTATAGCCTACTCTCGTAATCGCTTTGCTTCTATCCGCCTTTTTTTGTTTCAGCCGAATATTACAGCAGTCGAACTCAGGCCGGTGTTACTACGACTGTTATTACAGAGACACCAGTGACTTACGCACATCGACCATAGCGATCACCAGCTACATCATAAAGAAGCATATTTTTCCATTTGTGACTAATTTTTGATCAGAACGTATACTGTGGAATGTGCTTTGACGACATTTCATTGACTTATTTCTACTTTTGTGTAATTGTCATTATCAAGCGGGAAGGTTAATTCATGGTTTTGTTTTGCTTGGATATTTTCTATACAGACCATGCCATATCTGATGAGGCCTCACAAATCAACCCGCAATCCGCTTTATTGAAATTGTGTCGTTTACATATCAGTTAGGCCTATTCAATCGCTCGGGATATGGTTTTCTAACGACAACAACAACTTTTTATTTAATAATACATATTTATATTGGAAATATATCTGTATGGGTATACCACTGTACTGAGATAAGAGAATGCAATGACTGCTACTAGCACATTCGTTTTTAGATACAAATTATTTGTCTACAAGTGCAACAATGCTGTGTTTTCATTGTAGAATACATACATAAAATTTGAAATATACATATGGTATTATTTTACCCGTAGAGAAATATCAATTGTTTTTTATAGTTATAAAGTTAATTTTGCAGCATAGATTTTGATAGGAAACTAATTTATCCGTTTATTTTCGAAGCTGATGCATATAAGCTATCTTTTTCTTGTAAATAAATCATTCATAATTCATACCAATAGCAAAGTTTTGGTAATCAGAAGCATTATTGTTTCGTTTGAGTTGGGATTAAAAGCAGCATATAGTTAACTTGGAATTATAGGTATCATTTTGTAAGGTATTTTGTATATTTCTTGGCATCAAAAGTTATGGAAATACGTAGGGCTGGGAATGGTAAACCGGTTAACCTATTTTGGGTGGTTAACGGTTACGATTTATCTGAACTGTTAACTGACATCTCGGGTACAAATCATCTTTATAATATACAATTTCTTTAAAAATGATTACGCCATTGCAAATTTATTTCCTGTGGCGTAAATTCAATCGCACGCCTCACACTTTTGGTCATTTATATTACTCTATTATCTTAACAATCCCAGACAAATTATATTCTATCTTGATCTCCTGTTGACAGTGAAACCACAGTGAAGACTTAGGGAGTGAACCCCTGACCCCTGAGAATACTTGCGAAACACTTCAGGGATTAAATGAAACACAAAGTACATGAAAGAAGGTGGCATTTTTGAGAAAAAAAAATGGGAGTTGCAATATTTCTACATTTCTCAAAATTCTAAGGCACATTTTTAATTTGTCACATAGTCAATATGACGACAAATTTATAGATCAACTTCGAACAGAAAATATTTATGTGTTCGTATATTATTATAATTATACAACTACTGTACCTAGTTACTAAAAATCAATATCAATCATAACTCAAGCGGTCCTATACCGCGTAAATGTAAGAAATGTGGCGGGAAATGCCTGCTCCGAAAATTCTGTAGTTTGTTTGTTTACTGATCTATACGTGGAATAATAAACATAATATTTTTACATTACTGAAACTAATCAAATATTCTCAACGATCCAAATGAACCGATGATCACGTGACCTCGTTAATTAGAGTTGGTACTGTAAAATCATTTCAGCCTGATATTATTAAGCTGGTGGCACAAAAGAGATGTCAAACGTCAGGACATATATATGTAATTAAAAAAAACATTGTCTGTAGTATTTTTGTAAATTTTAGGTCTATATATTTAAATTAATTCATTTTTAGTTCAAGTATTATTGTTTCCTTATTAAAACTTTGTTCAAAAATGTTTTGGGTATAGTTGTACAAAAAAATTGTGATTTTTTGCAATAAATACAGTAAATTGCAATATTAGTGAAATGCAAAAACTAATATGTAAATGGCATTTAAAATTTAAGAAAATACCAACTTCATTTGGATGTTTGATTACATCACAATATATGTCACAAACTACATCTATCTAAAAATATGCTCCAAGTATACATTATCAGAACATATCAAACACTGTTTGCGGCCCTTTTCCCAATTCCGAAAATGCAATGCGGCCCTAGAACACCCCTGCTATACGGCACTGAGGGATTGCGAAAGTGTCGTTCAATATTGAGTTCGCCTTGGATTTAGTTTACCTTAGGGGGCGGCTTTCGTGAAATCTGTCATATTAATTTAGCTCAGTCAGGTTCTATTTAGTATTGGCTATTAGCCTATTATTGATTGTTATTGTGAAAAGTATTTTATCAATCTTTCATTGCTTATTTATAGTGCGTCCGTATCGATATAAATTAGTTTTATCGTTGGTGTTCAAGTTTCGGTGCTGTGGCAACATTTTACTCATATGTGGTGGTTGAGGAATATAGTTCGCTTTCCAGGGATCTCGTTGCCTCTTTACTACTTTGGTTGTACAGTTACTGGAAGCAGGGAGATTGCGCATAATTCTTCAAGACGGGTGCAAATAGGATTCCACTACAACGACGTTGAGTGGATTGGAATTCACGTTCCAGCTTAAGAATGATAAATCCAGAATAAGTTTTCGATCGAAATACGTTGTTCATAGTATAGTTCATAATATATTCAATGTCACCCAACAAGTGCGCAGTTGATGCTGTTTTTTTTATGATATCTCAAGTTAGAATTTGCACATCGAACAATAAAAATGTCTCACATAATGACATTTAATAACAGGATCGGGTTTTACTAAAATACCTCGTATGTCCGAACCACACTGCATATCTCTTGCAGCAGAGGAATGGATCATAGGCCCAGAAAAACGCTTAGAAAGTGAGTTTCGTAACGCACATCTGATGGGGACTACATAAATTCTTTAGTTTTGTATCAAAATGGACATACTGAACCCATTAAAGCTTGTTCCCACTAACGAAAGTTGCACATTTTCTGTAAAATATGCTTCAACAATTCTTATGCAAAAATAATATATTTAGTCCGACAGAATCGGGCCTTAACATTGTTTTGGGACATAAAGGTTTTTTTTATTGTTTAGATATAATGTATATGACATATATATTAATACCCATGTGGGTGTGGAGTATATAATGTTGAGCAATTTTTTTTAAGTGGATTTAAAGTATTCGGTCCAAGATGACGCACATCCTGAAACCCAATCTGGTAAACATACAATGTTCAGGTTGTGCGCCATCTTGGTACGAATACTTCAGAAGCGCCTTTTTGTTAAAAACAATTATTTCATAACTACATGGTTTAGTTTTGCATACATAGTAACATTGAATCTCCTTACAATGTCAGAAATTCAATTTTAGTACAATAAATGGTAGTTTATTTCACTAATACAAGCCAAGATCCATCGACAGCATCTAGCCACTTTCTATTGCGCTCTTCAAACTACATTTGCGTTGCCGCGCGCATTTCGTTTTCCTAGTTTAAGGTTGGGGACTTGGGAAATATTTTATTAGTTGAATTGGATTGGAATATTTGACCTCGTCTTTCACTCCGAACAAGGCCATGTAAAACCGTCCACTGGTATCTAAAGATGTGTAACGTGTTTTCTTTTGGAAGAACCGCAACCGTTCAGTGCTGCATTGACTTTGGCAAAATTAATATACAGTATTCTTGTGGAGATAGAAGGTATGCGTGTGCAAAACCGAGATGTGCACCTGTTATGCAAGGCCTGCCCAACCTTTTTCGTCTCGCGGGCCACTTTCAAGTTTCGAAATTCGTTGCGGGCCGCAAACGTTTGTACCAAACATTAATACCAGCTAGGTCCTGATTTCGGTGTAGGTAATTTACATAATACAAAAAAGGCAAGCTTATTAACATCAAATCAATCAAGTTAATAATTGCTTTCTGGTTACTGAGCAGGGCTGGCAAATTATTCGAATATCAAGTTGAATATTAGAATAGCAGTTTACTATTCGAATATCTGGTAACACGGGGCGTTGGCATGAAACTTTTTTGATGACCACACGAAAACACACACATCACGTCGAAATTAAGTGTTATATTCGCGTTATAGTGTTTTTATTCATTCATTTTCAGTAGCTATGATACTGCCTCAATGTTTAAATGAGCATAATGTGTGCCAATGTCGCAGGAATATCAAGTTTTAGTGGGTCGTTTTGTAAAATTTGAAACGCCAATACAAATATTTAATGAAGTAACATTACAAAGATTACGGACGAATTGCCTATATATATACTGATTCGTGGCCAATATACAGCAATGCCATTAAGTCAATTTCATTAGAATTATTGACGAATACGCAGTGACGACATTTCCGAAATCTTGTTTAACCCAAACATTTGATAATGAAAAATACAAACATAAAAGGACAACAAGTCCCAGAACCAGTACCAAAGATATCGTTGACTTTTTATGTTACGTTGGAGATAAAGACGATCAAAGCAGACACGTAAAAAGAAATCAATCAGAATGAAATTAATTTGCAAATTTAGGCTCAAAATTCATTTCCATAATTGCGCTCAGCGTTCGTTTTCAATGATTGCACAATATCTTTCGAGTTCGTCGAACAGAACGCTAAGTTCTGCGAGAAAAAAAAATGACGTCGTTGTCTACCAGGGTGCAAGACTTGACACATACGTAATAATAAGAACCGGCATTTGAATGTAGATAGATGGCAGGAATAATCACATCAAAATCTCAAAAACTACTTAATCCTATAAATTGATTAATAACATAAACTTACAAACTTTATAGGGCGGGCCGCATGCGGCCCGCGGGCCGCGGGTTGGGCAGCCTTGTGTTATGCCAACATAGTTGAGTCAAACGTTTTGAATACTAATACATCACACATTTTTGCACATGCATCAAATTCCACTTGATTATTGAGCTATAGGTTTTTGACGAGCTTTTGTGTATGATTTCATTTTATAGAATTTGTATGCTGTTCTAAAGAATACTAGTTTCAGCTTTTTCATTCTCTTAAACCGCGTGTTGAAAGTGAGTTTTGTAATATTGCGTGTTGGTTTCCAACATCCTCAAATCGGTGATGCCAGTAAATCTTTGATACGAAAAGATCAGTAACATCTGCAATAAAAACAGCAGTACCCACTCAAATGACAGCTGGGGGATGGATATTCTTAGTATCTGCTCCATCGCGTGCCTCTTGCAGTATTACCAGTTTACATGAGTGTCAACCGGTATCTAAGCTCACCCAGAGACAAAAAGTTTCGGACTGCAGTTGGCGTGACGAAATGTTTTTAAATATATACTCAACAATAAGATTATTCGATTGCATACTACTGAAAGTTCCGCCCTATATGTTTTTTCCCATTGCACTATTCCTTTACTGATATTCGATAATATGACGCTCATCTGACATAGTTCTTAAAGTGTGTAGATGGGTATAATCTTTCCCACGCTGTTCAGATGGGAATGCGCGAATATATATAAGAATTGCTAGTATTGGTTTGCAATGCGATGAAATCCCATCTTGACATTTCTGCCTCTCGCAATTGCTGCGTATACTTATCGGAGAAGTTCTGTGGCGTGGTTATCAAATGAAAAAACAACAACATGGAAGTATTTCTCCTACTTCTCTACTATTATCAAACCTTGACATTTTGTGAAAACTTTTTTCCCATGCAACCTTTTTCAAAACATACCCAACAACCACAATTAATTTTGTTATTAAACTTCCGAAACAAACACCTAAAATCATCAACAGATGCATATCACCAAGTAGATATTGCTGAATTGATCTTTATTTTAAC